CACTTTTAAAAATGTCCATATTGAAAATTGAACGTATGTGCAACTGTTGCTATGGTAATTAAAATTATCACCGATTGCCTGCGAAAAGCGATTTCCCTAACACAGATTTCAAAGTTGAATTATTCAATCACCGCGGTGTGAGTGGTAGTGTTCTCCAGTACACAACGAAAGGCTGCAAGCAGCGAGCTGCGTCCCACATGAATATCCATAAAAGGAGGAAGAAGCCGCACCGCTATTGATCGGAATCAGTAGCTCTTCGTGAGTCGCTCTGGGCCATCTTTGTCAAGCGCGTCATATTAAAGAGTATATACACTCAATTTCATATCCCTACACAAGATACAAGCTCCTGCTGCAGTGAACAAATAAGATTTATTATATAAGACCACGTAGTCCTACGTCACCATTGCGTACAACCCCATAGGGCTGTCCCTTGTAGTTTTTTTTTAATTAGACTACCGGTTTCAGAGATATGATTCAGGGTGGCCTCTGGATTTAAGAAATTAATTTTCCAACCTTAAACATTTTTCCCGGTTGTAGCTAAATATGAGCTAAAAGGATATTATTTTCTATTTAATTCCACTTAGTATTTTGTATCCATAAAAAAAAACTAAACATATTAAAAAAGGAATATCGATTTCTGCAATTTAGCAACACTATAAATTATCAATATTTTTTTATAATCCATAAGAAAATCGCAACAAATTTAATCTTAGATAATTTTGTGAAGTCCGAAATTTAATAGCCTAAGAATTATGAACTTTTTCTAAGTAACATGTAAATTTTTCAAAGGGCACTAGACCAAACGCTATTGTGGGTCACTGGGCAGTATGTTATAAAGTGATAGATTAAACTTAGAAATTCTTATATAATACCAGAGTCAAATTCATTTTTAAGCGTAAGGAGTCGGAATCGGAGTCGAAGAAATAATATCTACTCCAATTGTTATGAAAAACTAATTTGAAAGTAGAACCTGATTTGTCCACGTGCAGAAGCGCCTACTCGATGACATTATTGATGAGGCTGATGCTTAAGAAAATAGTTCATTTTATCCAACCCGGTGATGTTAGATTTGCTAACAATAATGAGGAATTCATCATCGCATAATGTTAGTGGACGCAAGAGAATGGAGATCGAAAAATTTAGAGTGAATTTGTCGAAAAAAATAATAGAAAACTGGTTGCCAATTGGACACGAACCACGAACGTGCGATTATCAGACCTGTGCTTTCTCCACTGATCTCTCCGTGCTTCGGAACATGGATAGCCTAAAAGCGAATAAGATGTGCTCATAGTACGATAACTCGACTTCGTATGTTTTTTTCTGCTGAACGGGAATTGGAGACAATCGTGGCAAGTGCGTGCCTCGTTCTATAATGTTTTAAATAAGTAGCATGCCTGTGACCATTAATACATTTCATTTGGCACATGATCTTCATTAACTTTCTGCAAGGTGTCTGCAATAGTTGCAATAGCAGCAATAGTCAGCAATAGCAGCAATAGTCAGCAATAGCAGCAATAGTTGCCGGGGATATCTATCCGTATAGACAGAACACTAAATAAAAAAGATAAAAAATCATTGCAGGTCAACTTATATCAATCGCTGCGGTGTTCACTGCGGAGGATGATAAGAAATGCAACTAACATGCACGCAGAAAAAAATATTTTAAACGTAATAATATTTGACGTAAAATCAATAAGAATTTCATTTTGTTTTGACTGCAAAAATAAATCATTATTGTTTCAACAATCCAGTATTTTTGTTCCTCAAAACCCATGGATTGTTAAATCAAAAAGAAAATCTTTTCGAATTTACAAGAGCTTTCATGGTTTTGACGTAAGCTGTCAAATTTGGCAGCTGGGTCATCAACAAAAATATGTTTGTTTTTAAAAGAGATTTCTTGTTGATTCAATCATATTTATTTTATGAAGTCTGACAATTCACGCAGTAGAAATAAAAATATGTTTATTGATTCAAAAATCCGGAGTGATTTGAGATTTGGGCGTAATTACTTTTGAAAACAAACACGTCAATCACTGATTTCTCTTGAATAAAAGCTCAATCTCACAAACAAACTATACCAAATAATAGAGGAATCATTCCTCTACCTCATAGTGTTATTACTTTTCGGTATTGAGCTTTTATTCGCGAGAAATCGGCGTATTTGGCGTATTGACGTATTTGTTTACAAATGCAATTACGCCCAAATCTCAAATCACTCCGGAAATAATATGGCAAATTTTTTTATGTTTTGTTTTCTTTTTCACTGATCATCCTTCGGAAGGGAAGTAAAGCCGTTGGTCCCCAGTTAATTAGTTGATGGGTCGATATGTAGGGTCCAGGTGTGGGAGCTGCCTTCCTGGCGTCAGGAGCATTGGTACTCAGTAGTACCTCAGTACGGAAAACAAGATCGACGGAAAAAAAATCAAGGAAAAAAATTGATTATATTTACACACTAACTTTAGATTACTGGAGTCAGTAAAATTTTACTGGGTTTTTGAATTGCGGATCGCCCAGTAGTCATCACAGAAATAATTTGCATTACCGAACTGTCCGTAAAGTCAATCTGTCAAAAATAACTGTTCATTCAGTAATTGGTTCGAGTTGCGTATACTGGAAAACCCAGTATTTTATTTTTGTTTATTTTGCTGCAATTTAACTGAAAAGACAGTTATTTGGTTCATTATTATACCGTGTTACCCAGTTATATTAAAAGTAGTGAATTTGCAGTCATAAAAGCATGAATCCTGGTGCAATTCACCGTTTATAATTATATGCCAATTAATATTACGACTTAATCCCTTGACGTAACCCGGAATAGCGCAACGACAGTGAAAGCAAACAATGCAAACATCCATTTTCTTAATCAAAATTTGTTGGAGATCAAGGAACTGCAAAAAGAGTAAATAATAATTGTTGGTACTAACGAAATAGTACTTCAATTTCGCTGTCGAGCTTTCTCAGATCCGTCATGATATAATTACAAAACCGCGCGATTAAACACTTGCTCCTGGATTTTACTGAAGCTAAAATGGCGGCGGGAATAAAATTGACAGGTTAAAGTTTTACAATTCGTGGTCAGTAAAACAAGGTGGCTATTTTGCTGACCAGTCGGTAAAAAAATAAGGACTACTTTGGGTACAGTAATTATTTTTGCTGACTTTTCGTGAAATCAGTAAATAAATATTCTGTGTTCAGTATTTTGCATCAAACGATACCGAAGTTCAGTTTGTGTTTTGCAGAATGTCGGTTATTCACCTGATTTAAACTGAATGTTCAGTAAATCTTTCTTTTTACCGTGTAAGCCCAGTACAAAAAAAAAACCGAACAACTAAATGCTGGATTAGTGTGCATAGAAAAAAAATCGTATCGATTGGCGTATTAAGAATTAAAATCCATCATCTCTGGATCAAAATCAAACCACTTTCATGCCGCGACCGACTTTGGTTTTTGAAATTGCACCCCCACTGTTGCTTTAAAGTACATGGTATTTTAGATTTAAACATATCTAGATTGAGCTGGAATTAGGCGTAACAGCTTTTGTAAACAATGACTTCTCTCGATGATGTTTAGGAACTGAAGGCACGTCCACGCAAACCAACATTACCGTCGGGTAGGGGAAGTCTTACCCTACCTGATGGTGATGTTGATTTCCGTGGGAGAGCCTTGAATTTCAAGACATCATCAAAAGAAATCATTGTCTACAAAAGCTGTTACGCCCTAATTCCAGCTCTATCTTGATATGGGAGCTGACATCCGATTGATGACCTTGGTAAATGTCCAAAAACTACTCTTTTAGAAATTTTTGGTGGTCCAGAAAAGGACCGTTTTGTCGTGATGGTTGACTAATGCTGCGCTATTAGGGTAATAACCACAGATGAGGCTGGTGAGCTGTAAGGTGTTTGGAATGAGAGTAACGCGCATGGCATAGATGGTCCACAGCGACTCACGAAGAGCTACTGATTCCTATCAATAGTGGTGCGGCATCTTCCTCCAGCCTTTCGTTGTATACTGGAGAACAATGTTCAACGCCACGCGCCGAAAGCACTGCTGCTGCTAATGCCGACGACCGGACACCACCACACACGGTGATTGGAACTGAATCCGATTAGCGGCTGAGGCCAGCCTTGATAGCTAGCTGCTTGTGGGGAGTCTTACGTTGTGTACTGGAGAACACCACCACTCACCACGCGGTGACCGAATGGAAATTCAACTTTGAAATTTGTGATAGGGAAATCGCTTTTCGCAGGTAATCGGTGATATTTTTTACTATCATAGCAACAGTTGCACATTCGTGCAATTTTCAAAAGTGAAATTTGAAAAATGATTAAGTCATAAATTTAACAGATGCGTAGAAATATTTCTGATCGATTGGTGATAAAATTATTGAAATTGGTCCAGGGGCAGCTGAGTTATTAACGTTCAAAATCTTTCATAATTTTGTTACATGTTCCATCTTCGGTTTTCACAAAGTGTACCCCATATAGAAGTCACAGACGTAGTCCTACGTCAAAAATGCAAATGTCAAACCCTGTGCAAATGTGCAGTTCTCCGCAAATATCAAAAATAATTTAAAAGTTAGTACCGTAAAACGGGGTGAAGTATCTCATTATCTTTGTTAAGATATGATAATTTTGTAAGTCGAATGCTATAGAAATATGATGTCATCTAACGCCCTGGAACTGTAAAACAATTGCACTTGAAGAGAAAGTATTAAAGATCACCTCACGGTAATCAGAAAGTAGAAATTGACAAATTGGATTTGATTTGAGACTGTTTTCTCGGATGACAAGCTCGTCAATTTCTACATTCAACCAGAGAAACATACAGTGATTCATCATTTAATTTATGTTAGCATAACATAGTGCGGCTCGTTTTTGCGATAAGAAACGTGATCAAAATATTACATACTCAGCAGCAAACTATCAAATTTCATCACTATCATGCTTTGCAAAGCATAACAAATCGAACACCCTTATTATCCATGTAGACCGTTTGCTTACCTCGGCGTTGACATTGTAATCCAGCGGGTTCGAACTGAGCTCCTCCTGCGGACTGTACACGTACTCGTGCCTCTCGATAATCTTCCGGAAGCTGGGGAAGTTGTCGTCGTTCAGCTTGGCCGTTCCATTTCGCAAGAACACCACCACCGCAGCGGCATTCGAGTACATATCCCGCAGAAACTTGTCATCCAATCCTTCCAGGGCAGACACTTGGACGCCCTTCAGATCGTTCACTCCCCAGAACAGGAACGGTCCGCTGTAGTGAGCCACTGCCGAACCAAGCACCGATCCGAGCAGAATCAACGATTTCAACGTTAAATGCGTCATCGCGCTTCCACTATTGGCAATTAAAAGTCGGCACTGACGAAATATTAATAACCGAAAACAGAACTAGTCGCAACACTTGAGTGAGCACCCGACCGAGTTGGGTGAAAATTTTGCAGCAACGACAGAAACGGGTCGATAATTTGATCTCGGCGTCTTGGCACCGAACTGCGCATGCTTCGCGGGTAAAGAGCATAGCTTGATAGTGTCGTTTCGTTTCAACGAATGCATTGTTTTCAAACCGGGACCACGTGGGAAATGTTTGCAAACAGCTGTTTTTTTGGGAGGGGGAGGGTGAATGGGATGAGTTCGGAGACGGGGATGGGAGAAAGACCATGTGATATCGATGGGATGCTGGTTAGAGAGGTATGCACCAATTTATATATAATGTTGTTCAGGGCAATCGAATTCAATTAAGTCGTCAATGTAGATCTATAAATGTATTCAAGCGAAGAACGCCTTGTTATATCACAAGAGTTAAGTTTCAACTTACACTAAACGGTTGATGAGAAAAACAGACAACAATACGGGTAATGAGTATTTTACAGCACTATCGCTGCTACTTAAACTGAAAAATCCCTTTTGACTGCCTTTATCGTTCGGATCTCGCACCCCGCACGTTCGATAGGAGAGCGTCTTCTTGCGCTTGGCATTCACGTACCCCGGAATGGAGACCGTGGGCTGATCCAGTCTTCCGCTGGCCAACAATCGCGAAAAGTCCAGCTCGATCTGGTGGGCCCTCGGTCCCTTGAAGTGAATGATCATCTGAATGCACGCGTCATTATGGAGTGTCTTGGTGCTCCGGGAGTCAATCGCCAGCATCCACTCGGGAAGGCCCATCACTCCTCGGGCTTCCTCCAGGAATTGTGTCACCACAAACCTCGGAGGTTTCTTCAAATTGATATACTTGACGATGTCATGATCCGGTTCTATTTTGGCACAGGCAAATCGATTTCCGGAAAATTCCGGACCAAAGATCACGATCGATCTTCCAAGGGCACTGACCGTACCTTCCAGGGGAAAGTTGCTATCGGTGAAGACCATTCGACGACCTCCGATGTTGATGGGACCTATCCGGGTGGATACGTCTCCCACGTAGCAGCGCAAGGGGTTATCCGGTCCGCATTCTTGTCGATACAGATCTTGCTGAAAGATAAATTTTAAATTACTCCCTACAATCTCACCTGCCGCTTTTAAAATATCTTACGTTCAAAGGATCGGCAAGCTGCGTATAGTAAGGATTCCACACGTAGCCAGCAGCGACACACCTCGTCTCAACCTGCGTCACAGTGGCATCCACCCCCACCGGATTGACCCAAACGTTCCAATTGTGGTTCGAGGTCATGTTCCGATCGTGCTTGCCCGGATATCTCAGCTTCACCTCGATAATCGTATCGCTCTGGCTGCCGTCGTTCCCGATCAGCTGTGTCATCCGGATGTATCCGTACGTAAACCCTGCCGGGTGGTGGAACGAGGCGATGGCTCGAATCTCTCGAGCTTCACTCGGACTGTAACCCCGTTCCAGGGTACTGCAGGCCCAGCGAAGGTTTTTCTCCTTCTTGTGAACCACGATCGATCGACCGATGATACTCTCGTAGCCGTACAGCGGAAGGCGCGTGTCGTTGTAGGACTGCTCGTACATAGACACCCCGTCGAGGGTGCCAAATTTCCCGCTGAGATCACCCAGCTCGTACTCATCGGTGCTGCCCTGGGCCGGCGGCGGAGAAAGCTTCGGATTGACCGAGCGAGGGTTCCAGTGCCCGTAGACGGTGGAGTCTTCGCACGGGAACTGCAGGTCGCCTTCCACGGGGGCCTGCAATTGGGATTGCGAAATGATGTGTGATTTAGTTAAATGAAGTTAAGAAGCATCGCATGAAAACAACTAGTGATTATTATCCAAGGAATTCCAAAGTGCAAAATATCGTTGCACTGTGGGCCAGGAATTAAATCTAGCAGGAAACAAATATCCAATTGAGTTGACGTCTTCGGTGAAGTTTTTTGGCTTAATTAGGACAACAATTTGGTGGATAAAATAGTTCAAATGTTGGCCGCAAAGAGGGCACTGCGATCCAAGCTTTTTTAATCAACAAGATAGAGGTTTGCTGTCTTGGGAAAAGTTGTAGAACGTAAAATTATATGAAAATTTGCCCAAAACATATAAGCTGTACAGCTTCAAACAACAGAGATAAACAAAATTTTATTAAAAAATTGCCTAAAATTCACTTTTTTAGTATTATACTTTAATCAATCGTTCTAAAGAATACTTTTATCTATTACAAGGCTAAAGATAGCATAACATACGTCTCCTTATGACCCTCCCCCTTTTTGAATTTTTAGCCATTAACTGTGTGAGACGTCGTCAAAACCTAATCATTCATAATCATGACATCGTACTGCGACACATTGGCCTTGGAAGAGGTTCTGGAAACCCTGGGGGAAGTGGCCAATTGTTTTCAGAATTTTGTGAGCAATCCAGAAGAGACCATATCATCTTTCCTGAATCACATTACAAAGAGGTCCAGAATGCAGATTTAGGTGGAATCTGAGGGAGAGTCGCGAAGAGAGAAAAATAGAACGTCAAATGCAGCCGGCTGTCACGAACTGTCATTGGAAGCCAAGGAATTTTATGATGCTTTTCTTACAGTTGAACAGGAATACACAAGGCGGTATTGAATTCTTGCGCAAATTTATTTATGACAAACTGTCGTTTCCAGATATTTTATTCAATGGAACATCGTTTCTTTTTAATTCATTGGAAATACACATAAATCAATATTTAAAGATATTATTAATCAAGGTCAAAACATTTGTTTTGTCAAAATATCTAGTGGCATAGTAAAATACCAAACAGAAAAGTACAGTTTCTCACTGCACACTGAACTATCTCAAATAATCACTACACGCTCAAAACAAAACACGCTATTTTGCTACGCCTGTTTTGATTTGATTTAAATGGCACAAATTTTCATGACAAGAAGAACAAGTATGCAATGAATTCCGTGTGTGCTATCTGCTTCTCCCTCCCAGGGTGGAATGATATGTTTTGAGCCTGAAATTGAAACTTTAGACCTAAAGTTTCTTGTACAAAGTTGTTCCTTATAGTTAGGCCCTCATTTTTATGACAATGAATTCTAGGGTGGTGCTTATTATCATTAAAATAAAAAATCTAACTTTTTTGTTTGAAGAAATTTAGGTATACATTCTTCCGCAAAGTTATAGCTGAGCTAATTTCAAGCAATTATTTTTGGTCGCTATTGAAAATTTAGTCGATTGCTGAATTTATGTATGGGCCTAAATTACGGACATTTAGGCCGACATTACATCCATTTACCCTATTAACATTTGAATAGGACATATTTTTAGTAGAAAAACGTCAATAACTCTTGATCGGCGAAAGATATTGACAAGCTTTTTGCAGCAAAAATTTGCTCCTTCTAAAGATCAAAAAGTTATTTGACGACACCTTTGCTGAGAAATTTGAAATAAGAAAACTAGAGCAAAACAACTGTTTTTTTAGAGACACCAAAACTCAATTCAAGAAAATAGCTCTAAATCGTTTTTTTTTAAACTAAGTTGCTTGAAATTAGCTCAGCTATAACTTTGCCCAAGAGTGTATACCTTAATTTCTTCGAACAAAAAAGTTAGATTTTTGATTTTAATGATAATAAGAACCACCCTAGAATTCATTGTCATAAAAATGAGGACCTAACTACTTATAAGGAACAACTTTGTATAAGAGACTTTTAGTCTAAAGTTTCAATTTCATACTCAAAACATATCCTTCCACCTAAATCTGCATTCTGGACCACTGTGCATTAGCCATCTGGTGGCCCCGTTACATGTTTCGGAAGCCCTGGGGAAGTGGCCAATTTTGTCACTACATCGAGTTACATATCATAGTTCTCATAATTGTGTGAGCAATCCAGAAGAGGTGATATAATATTGGCCATCTGGTGACCCCAGAGTAGGTTCCGGAAACCCTAGTGGAACTGGCCAATTTATTACTACAACAAAACCCCATCCATCAACATAACATTGTTCTCAGAATTTTGAGCATAATCCATGGCCTGGAATAGGCCCATGGGGAAGTGATAACTATGCAATGCAAAAAAAAACCTATCAAAGGACACACATTTGTTCGCAGAATTTTGAGAGCAATCCAGAAAATTAGAAATCTATCGAGCGACATATAATTGTGCTCAGTACTAGGCTCAGTATTTCCTGGTCAATCCAGAAGAGGCCATATTATCTTTTATGTATCAAATGGGTTCTCTGGTGGCCCCAGAACCGGATCCGGAAGCCCCAAATGTTTCATTATATCAGAAACCTATCGAGCGACCGATACTTGCTTTCAGAATTCACTGAGCAATCCAGAAGAGGAAATTTCATTTTTTTTTCTACATCACATTCGCCATCTGGCGGCCCCAGAACAGGTTCCGAAAGCACTACGGAAAGTGGTAAATTTTGCATTATTTCAGAAACTTATCGACCAACTCTCAGAATCACATTGACAAACTGGAAGCCCTGATTTTTTTCTGAATCTCATTGGCCATATTGTAGTCCAGGAACAGATTGTGCAAGCTCTTGAAGAAGTGGTGGTGTAAAAATAATTGTCCACTTTCACCAGGGCTTCTGGAACCTGTTCCGCAGCCACCAGATGGCCAATATGATCTAGAAAAGATTATATGGTCTCTCCTGGATTGCTCACAAAATTCTGAGAATAATTATATGTCGCCCGATAGGTTTATGGTATAGTGCCAGTGGTGCATTTGAACGCGATCAATTTGTGATCTGATCCAGAGATCTCAATTTGCATTCAAGTTGAATGAACGCCCGTGCAGTTCATAAGAAAGAAGTCGAGGAGGCTTTGCCAGAACGGAATATAAACGCTCGGTACATATTAGACTGATGCAAAATTTGAAATTTTCGCTCCACAGTGCTTAAACGGTTTCAAATTGGGTCCTGCTTAGCCTCCCAAAATTTGAACTACTTTAGTAAGAAGCTGACTTGGCACAAACCATTTCAAGTTTATATGGGAATTACTATGGGAGAACTTATGTTTTTGTTCATATCTCACAATTCACCATATCACTATGCTTTTAAAAATGATAGCAGTGATTGTAGAAAATGTTCTCAGCTACAACTTTGTAGAAAATTATTTTTCGATCTAAAGTTATCAATTGTTCAATGCGCTGATGTCTTATGATTATGCTCATTCAACTGTTCAGCAGGCAACATTGGTGTTTCTGGTGTGAAGAATAGAGTACAAATATCATGGCTTCTATGTCACACTGCAGAATACAGTGTTGACCACAGAACAGCTGCTTGATCATGCCATAAGATTATCAATCTCTTAAACAATCATAACAATTTAATTTGACATTTGGCTGAAAAACAATATTCCGTAAAGTTGTAGCTTAGAAAATTTCCCGTAAGAATAGTTATAGTTAAATATATTTTCGAAAAAGTAATATGGAAAATGGGAAGATGACAATGATCAAAAAGTTTGGTGTTTCCATAGAAATTTCCATATAAACTTCGAATAGTTTGTGCCAAGTCAGTTTCTTGCCAAATGAGTTTAAATCTTCGGAGGCTAATCAGGACCTGATTTGAAACCGTTTGAACACTCTGGAGCGAAAATTTCAAATTTTGCATCAGTCTAGTACATATGTGTTTCTATGTGTGGTTTCAAAAACATCAACACAGCTCTGAGCATCAATCTTTGGTAGAAATTGACCGCGTTACGTAGTCAGGTTTTGGCCGCTTATAACTCTGTCAATAGCGGATGGATTTTAATTCTAAACAAGTCAATTGATTGGAAATTTTTCTACAAATCTGCTAAAATAAACATTTTACCAACCTTCAATAGATCACTATTGAAAATTACACAAATGTCCAACTGTTGCAAAGGTGATCAAAATTATCACCACTTTCCCTAACACAGATTTCAAAATCGAATTCCATCCGGTCTCGCCGAACGGAGCTTCTTCAATCATCGTGTGTGGTGGTGTCCGGTTGGCCGTCATCAGCAGCGGCAGCAAACGGTGGAAACTAACGATTTTAAATTGGCTCACTACTTGACTAACCTATTGGTCCCAAGCACATCGATTAACGTACCCTATTCTAGTTGAAATTCTAGTACTACGCAATGTTTGTTTTGATTCGCTATGAAAGTTTGACAGATAAAATGAGGGGTTATTGGTTTTACCTATGTTTCGAGGGGTGATTCGACAAGCTTGGGACCGAAGATAGTACCAGAGGTGAGCCAAAAAGTTGAGCACGTTTCTTCGAGACCTACTTGTCTTAGAGTTACCTCTATGATGCTATGGTCCATATAGACATATTTTAAAAATTTCTGTAGTTACACCAAAAATTGTGATTTTTTTCTAAGTACGCCATTCGATTACCTATAGCTTGAAACGGATAATGTGATTGGAATCAAGTCGATAGGTTGTATCGTTGTCGAAAAATCGTTAAAAACGTACCGTGTAAATCGCGAAAAACCGTGTAAAAATAACCGTGTAAAAAACAACCGCGTAAAAAAAAACGTGTACTACACTATGTTTGTTTTGATTCGCTCTGAAAGTTTGACTGATCAAATGAGGGGTTCGTGGATTTTCCTATGTTTCGAGGGGTGCATGCTTGGAACCGAAGATAGTACAAGAGCTGAACCAAAAAGTTGAGGACATTTCTTCGGGACCTTCCTGTCTTAGAGTTACCTCTATGGCAGCAGTGCTTTCGGCGCGTGGTATTGAACACTGTTTTCCAGTACACAACTAAAGGCTGCCCGTAATCATAGAGCTGCAGCACACTTGAGCGTCTATTCACCGAAGAAGAAAGAAGAAGCCACACCACTACTGATCGGATTCAGTTGCTCGTCGTGAGCCGCTGTGGGCCATCTATGCCAAGTGCGTCACCCTCGTTCCAAACAACAGCATCATCCGTGTCGAACACCCTAATAGTTCAGCATTACTCAAGCATCACGACAAAACGGTTCTTTTCAGTACCACCATAAATTATTGTTGTTCAAGAGTTAATCCATAGAGGCAACTAAGACCAGAAGGTCCCAAAGAAACGCGCTCAACTTTTTGCCTCAGCTCTGGTACTATCTTCGGTCTCAAGCTAATAGATGCACCCATCGAAACATAGGAAAATCTACTAACCCCTCAATTTATCTGTCAAACTTTGATAGTGAATCAAAACAAACATAGTGTAGTACTAGAATTTCGGATAGAATGGGGTACGTTAATCGATTTGCTTGAGTCCAATAGGCTAGTCAAGTAGTTATCCATTTTAAAATCGTTAGTTTCCACCGGTTGGTTAATCTTCATTGAACGTTCCCTCGCCTTGCTGCCACATCACCCTTAAATGAGTAACAGTATTGAAGTGGTACATACAAATTCTCGCAATGACCGAATACCACATTACCTTGTCAAATGACTAGAAACAGTTCGAATTAAGGTAAGGTTTTCTCCAGGACGCTAGAAAAAAGTTAAAAAGCTCGAATTTATATGAAACTTTTAGCATGAAATTCCTCCAATCAGTTTTTGCTATTTGTATTATCTATTGAATAAACCAAAAGTTCCGTGCGTTTTTGTTCACGGAAATGCATAATTTTGTCATAAGAAAACGAGGCATCCATGGGAAAAACTGGTTTCTCTAACACAGTTGCCGAATATTAATACCGTAACCTGATCTACGTAATACGTGTTCGGTCGTTTTAACTTTGTAATATTGATCGCAGTTTATGAACAATAAATTAAATTTTGATATAAAATTTGAAGCTCATTATGCAAGATGCTATTATTTTGAAAGTATTATTCTAGTATCTCACTTTCCGGCAGGTGCTTCCAAAAATTTGGTAATTTGTAATTGTAGAATTGAACATATTTGTAGTTCTGTAGCGAACGTTTCAGTTCAGTTGACCTTAAGAGAACAAAGTTACAACATGTCAAAGTTGTCAATTTTGTATGAAAATCGGCATGCGCTGCTTTATATCGAACAGTACTGTATATGGGTCATTCCAGCTCAAGTGGGTCGACGTCACCGATTTGAGCCAAACTCGGCCAAAACGCTTATTTTGGCATACTGAACAAACGCCTTTTTTGATTTTGCTCTGGGCGGGATTTTTTATTTCTTTATATTTTGGGCTCAAATTTTCACCACACCTTGGAAAACTCATGTACTTGATGTGTTTCCAAGGGAAAATTATTTGGAAAAATAGTTTTTGAGATATGACCAGATGAGTGAGAGGTAGTTTTAAGCATTTCTGATGAAAAATCAATGCTATTTAATATATTTTTATTTTTCTTGAATTCCTTCGTGCTCATGGCACAATAATATTGTTATGTTATTTTTCACATGTTCTGGGCTGGATTCTCATTATATGAAATCATAGCTACCTCATTTATTTACTTCTGTCCATAATTTAATTATGATCCTAAAAGTGAAAAATACATTCCTATGGGATACAGCCCAAACGTGCTTAAGAAGTACGATGAAATCAGATAGATTAGCAGGTATGCAAAATTTCAGTTGTGGATGACAGTTGCTACTTCAATACTCAGAGGAAACAGTTGCTACTTGAATAATACCGAATACATAATGGAAGCAACGCATAGAAAAATTAGCAAATACTCAAACCTTTCTTCTGAGGATGTAATCTTTGCTATCAAATTCGTTCGAAACATTTATCTTTGAGCGGCAGATGACGCGATTGTACCTGTCTCATAGCGTTCGTATGAGAAAATGGAAGAGTTGCCAGTCTTCTTGATTTGTTATCTTCGATAATACCCTTATTTGAGTTATTAATTTTTTTTTAGATGCAATCACACGAGCAAGAATGCTTTTTTATTATGGTTATAATGAACGTAACTGTCATGCTCTTCTTCTACGCATTTGAAGCTTATTGCTTATCGCATATTAGCTTATTGCGTGCTCTCAACTTAGTGCTCTAAATGCACTTCCACAGTTATTAATTGAGAGCTTTCGATGCCAAAATCAATGCATGAGTTAACTGTTAACGTAACTGTCATGTATCGTCAGCAAACCCATAGTTCAAAATCAGTTTGTTAACTATTATGTACCATGTTTTTACTGCACCGCCCACCGTTATTTCTGTATTTTGGAAAATCTAACTATTTTCTTTACTATACAGAAAAAAAAAGTTGTTGAATATTACATCCAAACAGCTGCACAGAGGTCATTCCGCCGGTTGTGTAATATTACGTTGTACGATGTACATCGATTTTGCGAACAAAATTACATCTTTTGATGTAATATTGTATCTGCTTATTGCTATTACATCATTATTTTATACATCAGCTTGAATTACGTTGATCGATATTACATTTTTTTGCTGTGTAGTGCTATAGTACTCTAAATTAGTCATCTACAATTAATCTGTTGGATTGGCTAGAGGACAACCGAGAAATATTGATGGGAAAATGGTACAACCCGCCGCGCTATTCGGAGGATGGTACTCATTTTACATACTTGCGATTCGATTTTACATAAATATCTGTTTGTTACCAGCCAAGTCAGATGAAATAATTTTTGAAGTGCTCCCAATGTTGAAAATATACCTCTTCTTATGTCACAGGCAAATTTTGTCTTCTGAGCACAAACACAACTTACTACTTGTTTTGTTTTTGCAAGCCTAAAAATCTATACTAATACTTAGACATAATTATAATTCTGCAACTGTTTCCTGTGCGTAACTTCGAATGCGTAGAAGAAAAGAACCTGACGTCACGTTCATGAATGGAAAATGTGAAAATGAAGGTTTAACGTTTATTTTTCTTTATAACTATAATAAAAAAAAAAGCATTCTTGCTCGTGAGATTAATTACTCAATTAAGGGTATTGTTCAAGTAGCAGCTTTCATCCACAACTGAAATTTCATATATCTACTAATCTATCTGATTTCATTGTTCTTCACGTTCTGGCTGTATCCCATAGGAACGTATTTTTAACTTTCAGGACCACAATTTAATTATGGACAGATGTAAATAAATGAGGTAGCTATGATTTCATATATTGAGAATCCTGCCCAGAACATGTGAAAAATAACATAAAAATATGATTGTGCCATCGGCGTGAAGGAATTCAAGAAAAAAAAAAATGCTATTGATTTTCCACCAAAAAAGCTAAAAAATTACCACTCACTCATCTGGTCATATCTCAAAAACTATTTGTCCAAATCATTTACCCTTGGAAACACATCAAGTACAAGAGTTTTCCAAGTTGAGCCCAAAATATTAAGAAATAAAAAATCCCGCCCATGGTGAAAATAGGCCATTTTTTGAAAATTTGGATACCAACAGGTAATCAGTCTGTTTACTGTATTTACTATAACAAAAACGAAATGTTTGCACATTTATAATAATTAACATTACGTAAACTTCAAATTGACGTTCTAAGATCACGAATAGCTTATTTGTGTGGAGTAATCTCTTCTTAAAGTTTAAATTTTTAAAAATCTCGAAAATACAGGGTTGTAGCCCAGAAGGATCTAGGCACTTAAGAGCAAAATCAAAAAAGGCGTTGTTCAGTATACCAAATAAGCGTTTTGGCCAAGTTTGGCTCGAATCGGTGACATCGACCACAACTTTTTTAAATTCTGTACCCACTTGAGCTGGAATGATCCATATGTATATTTTTTAGCGTGTGTTAACTTTTTTTTTTAAGTTTTTGAGTTTTCTGCGGTTGCGTTTAAAAAGCTTATTTTTGCTATTCTTGATTTGTGTGTGCAATTTTTGACTTTTTGAAAAGTATTGATTTAAGTTTTAAGTTTTTTAATTTTTTTTGCTGTTCAAAATTGACGATTTTTGACATTCTTTGTTTTTTTTTAAACTTTGCCTTGTTTGGCCTCAGTTCAATATTATTTTCATGCAAACAAAAATTTCCTAAATACTCACAATATGCACGTGATAGCCGCTGTTGGCTACCAGCCCCTTGAAGTCCACTTCGACATTCGTCAGGTCATACTCGGACTGCTGCACCATCTCCAGCTTTCCCTTGATCGTCAACGGATCCCCGTTCGAGTACCAATCACGTGCCACGACCTTCCTCCGGTGGTATCCTCCGATTCTAAAAGTAAACAAACCACTCAATCACCATCCCAAACACCCATCATCCAAAGCACTCACATCGAACACGCCAACCGCTCACCCCTGGCCTTCGGTCCATGATCGTCGAAGATCACCACCGACTTGCCGATGATGCTCGGCAACCCACTCAGCGGGAGATTCTGATCCACAAACATCCTTCGGCTGATGCGCTGGGATTCCGCTTTGCGCCCTGCAATCTCCAGCAGTCCCAACCTATTGGAAAGATCTCCCATGCGGCAAATTTCTGACGAATGAGTGGTACACCGTTCCTCCCAGTTCGAGCTTCCCTGCGACACCTTCTGCGGGTTGTAGATCCCGCCAGCACTGACGCACCGGTTTTGCCAATCGTAGAAATCCTTCCCCGGTGCCTGTTCCATTATTCCCCACCGATGTTCAGCCGTATTGTTCATTGTCGATCCATCGGCATGAATCAGATACTCAACTATCACCGCCGTATCGGTCCAGAATTCTTCTTTGATCTGGCGAAAGACAATTCGTCCAACGATCGGGTATCGGAATAGAACCTGTGCCGTGGTGATCGGAATCTGATAGGGCCTGCTGATTTCGTACAAACTGACCGGTCCACAAGCCCACGGAGAATGAGTGATGTTGGCCGGATCGGTTCGGTTTAGGCGTTGAACACCGAAGCCTCGGAAGATTACGCTGTGCCTTCCTTGCAGCGGAAGGAAGGCATCCCAGTAGAATCCACTCAGCTCGGCACTGGTCCCTGGAAGGTACATCCTGTGCGTTTCTCTTTTGTTGCGGTTCGTCAGCTTTCCGCTAAGATCTCCCACGGGGTACTGATCTTGAGTTCCGAAGCCAGGTGGGGGAATATTGTTCAGTTTGACGTTGGATGGGTTGAAGGTCGGTCCCGAGGTTAGACAGTAAGTGTCCTGGTCAGCCGAGTATGATTGAAGGGGTAGCTGGTTGATTTTGAAACTGGCGACGTCTTTGGCGTACTTTATGTTGTCCTGAGGGTCGTTGGTGACCGACGAGAACGAGGCGTTGATCCAGGTGGGTTCAAAGCGAGATCGTTGGAAGAATCGTATTTCGCCGTGCATTCCTTGGCCGTTGACCATCGCTCGAGCGGATTTCGCTTTGAGGTGGCGAATTTTCGAACAGGCCAGGAAGGTGTCCGGATGAACGGGGTCGAAGACGACGACGTACAGCTTGCGAGATGGACCGTAAAGATCGCTCGGAAGCAGGACCAGATCACGATCGTTGAACAGTTGGGGGTATTTTTTCTTCTGGGAATTGGTGGTGATTTTGAGATTACCGAGGCGGGCATCGATGTCACCGATGCCTTTGCCGGCTCCACGAACTTGCGGGTCAAAGACCAGTTGAAGCTTGTTGCAGTTATCCTCGGCGTTGTCATTTTCAAAAATATCCGTCACGTAGATCTTCCATGCATGCTCGGTGAAGTCGGTGTTGAGCTTCCTGAAAGAGGATGATGTCTTAGAATGTGTCTGAATGGCTAATCGAATCTTATATAGTTACTTGGACTGCTCCTGAATATGAAACAAATTAGAATAGATCAGCGTATCCGAGTGGTGAGTCTCCTTGGCTGCCAACCACCGAAAGAAGATCGACCCTGTAATCGGGCTGTTGAACCTGGCCTCCGCAATGTGATCCTGGGACCCATCCCGGGTCGTAATGGTAGCGCAAATTCTGAAACCACTATTCGGATCGAACAGCATCAGTGACTTGCCCCACAATCCCTTTTCTCCAGTTAGTGGAATTTCACTCAACCAGGTCGTGGACTCGTTTCCCGGTAGCGTCAAAAATCCCAAATCATCGTCAAACGACCACAACTGCTCTCCGAGCAGTTTGACATCACATCGCTCTTGGCCATCAGCGATCGTGTAGTCCACTGGCAGCTGGTACACGCCCCAACTCCACGCTTGATCGGGATACTGCAGCGTCGTTTCCACATCGGAGCCTATCTGAACCTGCCGGTCTGAGTACTGCGCGAATGAGATCTCCCCATGCAGCCCAAACTGCGATATGTAAGCGACCAAATTGACCGCACGAGCTGAAAAGAGAGATCAATCACCATTAGAGCGATCGCAACAGACGATCGTCAATTGCTTATGCAATTGTGAGGGTAAAACCTTTCACCGGCACTATCCATTAGTTCTAACGTCAATCAATTGGAACTACGTTTCCCTGTTTCAAGGAATGTCTGGCGGTCATAAAATTTTGACCATTTCATTTCGAAGCTCTGCTTTTGCCACGTCAAGCAACAGGAAATCGAAGCAGCACAAAATGACCACTCACTTTATCGAAACTCACCTTGATCAAGAAGTGTGACAACGACGACGATCGCAAGAAAACCAGCTGAATGACTAACTAGTCCCATTCTTAACCGTATGGATTGACCGATTTCCGCGTAATTCCAGCCAAGTACATTATTCAAAACTGCACACTTGTTATGATATCGATGGCGACGTTGCACAACAAAACATGGATTTTCTACCCGTACACGAAAGGTATGCGAGTATGAGTCACTTTCTTCAGGTTTGATCTGCAATGAAACGCACCACTGACTGCTGAGCGCGTGTTTGCTGTTGCTGTACGTGCGACTGGTTCGATTCGCTACTCACTCTCAACTGTGCTTTGGGAAGCATGTAGCCGGACCAGACGGAGGCGACTTGGGGTTTTTGGCCTTCGGGTATGGGAGGCTCTCGCTCTCCATGGAGCCACGATCAAGTAAGGGTTTTGTTTTGATTCTCTCTTTCGGCGTTCGATCCCGGCTTGATCAGTGTGTTTTGATGGAAATTTTGTTTTGAAACTTCATAACTTTCCATGGAACTACCACAAACTAATCACGTGATCGAGGGTACCGTATAGGTTCCAATTTGCTGAGTAGATGGGTTTTGGGATTTGAAAGCTTATGATTAAGGCTGAAATATCACCTGACTCCTGAGTATGAAGGAGAAATCTTGATGAAACTACATGAATTCATTGCAAATTCGCAAAATCTCGTTTCAGTTTTATAGAGTAAGATGGGATAGGGTTAACTACCCCATTTTCGGCCTATTAAGCACAACTCGCACTTAGTATTTCTTAATCTAGCGCAGTTTAGCACCAAACATAATGTTATTATTTCTGATGGCTTCCTAATTTATTTACCTTTCCGTATGTACCGTAAGATTTGATAAAGAGAAACCAATCGTTGAGATATTGTCAAAAGTCTAACACTGCTTCTTGACGTCAAACTCGGCCTACGGATTCTAAACTCGGCCTAACGCATTGAAACGTCATTGAAACGCCAATGAATTCACTTCGGCCTATTGGATGAAGATAAAATTGATTCGGTTGGAGCGCTTCTTTTGTTTTTTTTTTTTTGTGCGGAGGCGAACCAGCCTAAGGCTGAAAGCCTCCTAAATAAAGCTAAATTAATTAATTCTTTTGTTTTTGGGAATAATGGGTGCAAAATCATGGATTTATTTGAAGTTTTCTGCTCGATAGGCCCAAAATGGGCGATTAGGCCGAAGTAGTTCTCTACCTAATTGTTCGTTTTCACGTTTTGACACATGCTAGGAAGGTCAAGAGCCAGATTTTCGCCAAAAATTGGTGATGCTTTCGTTGTCACAAGGAGCAAAAATACAATATTTTCAAAATCCGTTCGAATTTGGCACAGTGCCAAAATCGAACCATTCCCAAATCGAGAGGGTACAGTATACTATTTAAATTTTTGTAAAAAATATAGTAGTACGAAAACAAAATTTTGTTTGTTTGAAACTGTTCTGTATGTTTAATATAAGAAATTTTATGGTTTGCTGACCAACATATCATAAAAATTCAAATAATTGTATCGATTTGATATACCTAATCAATTTTTACGATTTATTTTAACAAATTTTTACGCAACCAAACTTTCCAATTTGAAATGATCTGAATTAATAATTTGGTTTATTAATTTTGAGCATGACATTTTTTTCAGTGCTGATAAAAACCAACTTTTTGAAGTAAGGCTCTGAACCATTTGGTGGATTATTTTAACTTTTGGTTAAAATTTGACAGATGGAAAGTTATCGATTAACCTAGAGTCGGTGTATAATGAGTCACGCCAAGAGTAAAGCCAAGTCTACCTATTGAACTGTCAAAGCGGCTACCTATCGTGCAAAGTAAATAAACATTACGGTGATATGAAAGGTTCACGAAAGGTATTGCAATAAAATATAAAATATAATCGAAGAAATGAGCATAAACACGCAGTGAGCGTTAAATTGTCATGGGATCTAGCATGGGATACGCTCGGTAATGATTAGTAATGAGAATTTCTACTATTTTTTGTTAAGATAATTTGACAAAATCACTGATATAATGATTTACTACAGCCGCAGTATTTTTTCTCTCGCTAGAAGTCATTTGAAGTTGTTGTAGAAGTCCTCTGTTGCCAAGTGAAAAGAATTGGAATCTTTCGAAAACCGTGATGCGAGTTCAACTGTTTTTCTCTTGGCGTGACTCATTATAAACCGACTCTAGATTAACCCTGCTATCCGAGCATGGTTGTTTCTGACAGACAAGAAGTTAAATTTTGACAACCGTGGCTCGAAAACCGGTCGATCGACAGCACAGGGATTTTCGAACATAGAAAATAACTTTCGAAATGTCACTTTTAACCACGAGTTAAATTTAACTCGGCAAATGGTTCACAGCCTAAATATTGTTGACAGCTTGCCTCGCGTAGCGATCAAACAAGTGGAACAAAATCTTCATCATGCGAAAAGAAACGAACACATGTAAATTTGCACCATCAACCATCAAATCGCTGTCGGAAATGATAACAGACGGGCTACTTTGGAAACGTGGTAAATTTTCATCTGTTTTGATGATTTGGTATTTTGAACTTCTATCTGAACTCTTCAAAAGTGCGGAATCTATATAATATAAGTGCGCTTTTACGTTGTATCGCCTTGGTGTATTCTGCTCATTTTTTTCATTTTCGTAACTCACATTTTTTTCCTAACTCCTAAGAGCATCTCTACCGCGAGGCGCTAAACGGGGTTTAATATAAATGCAATGCAGCAACCCATGGGTTGTAACGACTCGAACGACTCCCACCACGGGGTGCTCAATGGGTGTGCCCAAGGTGACTACATATTCTAATGTGTCAAATTCATGATTCAGCCATGTTGGATTTTTGTATGGGACAGCGACCGAGTTTGTTTACAATTTGCACTAAAACCGCACTTTTCCCCCCCGCGACCTCCTCGCTTATATAGTGACAAAGCTGTATCACCATTTATATACCCACCATGGGTGTGCCAAATAGCAACTTAACCGTGAACGCACTCCCGAGTAGTAGCGGGTCTTCAAATTTGAAGGCCAAGTTGCAACCCGAGATGGGTTGCTATTTTGTTTGACAGCAGAACAAGAAAAGCGCGCCGAAGTTTTTTGTTTTGATTTTGTTGAGAAAGAAGTGAAAATAATAAGGAGAAGCAGTGAAAATAATAATATTCCAGGAAAAGGAGAGGCTGTTTGGTAAGTTAGTATGAATTAATTATTAATTATTTACTTGTTTTTTTTAAGGAAATTGCATAGTCTGAAGCCGGATCCCGGCAGGGAATCCGAAGCTGGATTCCGGCAGGGAATCTGAAGCTGGATTCCGGCAGCCAGTTCCAAGCCGGATCTTGGCAAAAACAAACCGAAGCCGCATCCCAAAAGGGTGAAAATGTTAGTGAAGTTTCGTTAAAATTGGCAAAAATTTAACTAACAGTTAAGTGAAAGTGGATCCCGATGGAAAACCGAAGAGGAATCCGTAAACGGATCCCGATAAGGATTTCGTAGACAGATCCCGATGGGGATTCCGAATACGGATCCCGATGTGGATTCCGTAAACGGATCTCGATGGGGAAACCGAATACGGATCCCGATGGGGAAACCGAATACGGGTCCCGATGGGGATTCCGTAAACGGATCCCGATGGGGATTTCGTAGACGTATCCCGATGGGGATTCCGTAGACGTATCCCGATGGGGATTCCGAATACGGATCCCGATGGGGAAACCGAATACTTTCACTTAATTTTTAATAACCTACTAGTAACTACTCCCTTTTGCGATCCAGCATCGGTTTCCTGTTGGATGTTGTAGTGCACTTTCCTAAAAAAACATGTTATTGAACAACAAACATTCAAGATACTTACCAGAATAAACAGCCTATCGTTTTCCGGGAACTTACTTTTGTTCCGCCTGCTCCGACCATCACAAAACAAAAACAAAACAAACCCTAAAAAAAAACAAATCAAAACCAAGACGAAGATGTTATTTGGCAACCCGCGGTAGGAGTATGAGTTTCTATAATTATACCCCCCCAGCGGTGGGAAATCGAATTTTTTTTTCGGGTTTCTAAACTAAATAGAGACCCATTCGGGGCATCATTAAATGACCGAAATGAGAACAAGTGGTGGAGATGCTCTAACGTCCTTACTCACGCTGCATCAGTCAAGTCTAGTCAAGTAGCGAGCCAATCTAAACTCGTTAATTTCGTATTGATTGTTGGTAGTACCGCCACCCGTAGCGCGCATAGTCAATTCCCTTGCATTTGACGTTTACACACTACCGCCATCTGTTCAGCCTACTACCCACCACAGTGTACTCAACAGATGGCGGTAGTGTTTTAGCGACGATGTTTCACACTAAGAAATATTCAATGAGTTATGTCTGTTTGTCTGTGGTAATATCTTATCGATTGGCGTATTTGGATTTTTATTTATTTAATAAATGACAAAGTTACAAGCGTTCAAAACCTAACGCTATTTCACCATACATATTTTTTGATTTGCACCCCAGTATAGTCGACAAAGACGTATTTCTACGTCAAAACCTCATTCGTGTTCTCTCTTGCAAACAGTAAACAACGTAAACAACAAACTACATTTAAGTAAATTCAATTCCATTAATGTTTTACCCGCTTCTACCCAGAGAGCCAAAACATTTAAATATGAGAAAAAAATCGCTCACGATGATGATATTTTATTTTGTTTGTGATTTATCAACAACTGACTGTAAAACATATTTGGTACCTCTTATGTGCTACTAGCTTAACATCTGTTTTACATATTCTGCACACACAAAAATTGCTGCCCCGCCCTTAAAAAACGGCAGGAAATCCTGTCAAGTGTGGAGCTTAGAAAGTATTTTTTGTGCAGAATTTGCTAAAAGGGATGGACTTCGGATGTTAATCTAATTGCATATAAGAGGCACCAGATATGTTTTACAGTCAGTTGGATGTGAAGGATAGTCAGGCAGACGGTTCTCCGAAACGACCCAAGAACGCTGCAGAGAGAGTTCGGTGTTATCAAGCCTTCGGTTTGTTTACAATTTCCTACGCGTGCATCAACACGATTTTCTGTTTACTTTCGTAGTCACAACTTTCTTAAACAGAGCATAGAGGAAGTTAGATGAATTCTCATGTGATTTGAGGCATCGCATAATGGATTTTGAACCAAGTCTAAAACTGGCTACTTCCCTATGGGTTTCCTGAAATTGGCCAGCGTGATTGTGGCTATTCCTAATAACTGCCATTGAACTGGTTGTTGAATTTTAATGTGATTCAATGGGTTTTGACCATATTCAGAAACTGGCCACTTC